TTTACTTACTATATAATAATACTCAATTAAGACTATTAGTACAAAATACTGTAATACAATGGCTCCAACAAGCCTATGCATCAAATATTCAACTTATTGTCTTGAAAGACTTTAATGCCTCTGATAATATCACTTACTTCTTATGAGCTAAATATAAATTACTTCATTTTCTCCAATACAATAACATGTATAATCTGGCTACATATACTAACAATTCAACATCTACTTGGCAAAGCAGCAGATATCAAAATAGCATAGATTACATTTGGACTAATCAACCTCTTCTTCGATATTTTAAGTCTTTTATCACAGATGATCCTAATACTAGTACTCAAAGGGATCATAAAATTTTAAACTCCTGCTGGCTTTTTTCTTAGCATATATAAATAAACTCAGACATTTTATCAAAACCTATAGAAGAACATTCTTATACAAAAACATAGACAAAGAGAAATGACAACAATTTGCAAATCAAGTAACCTTAAGTCTTAATAATAATAAAACTTTATTCAGCATACAAACCTCAGAATCACTAGAATCTTTCTAGCACAAAATTCAAAACAGTATCATCTCTGTTATTATACAACATATCTTAAATAAAAAATTCACTATCAGAAATTTTCAAAATATCTTCTTTACAAAGGCATCATCTTTACACCAACATCTCAAGAAATTAGGCAATATTATTAAACAAGTCAAATACTCACTAAAAAAACTCTACTCTTATACTATATCAATATAATTACCTTATTAATTAAATAAATACATCTAATCAACTCAATGTTCCACAGTTATCAACTATTCACAACTTATTGCCAAACTGGCTAGCACTTGCTAAAACTAAATGGAAATCTATCTATCATGCTTGCAATATAGAAAATATCAAAAAAATAAGACAACAAATTAATAATAATATTTCTAAAAAATGCTTCAAACTCCAATTCAACCCAAAGTCAATGATTAATAGTATACTTAACTGTTACAAAGACTCAGTCAAATTTGACAACATCAAAACAAACAATGATGTAATTACTGATTCTTAAGACATTAAACAGTATATCAAACAACACTTTGACCAATAGACATCTCTCAAACAGACCAATTAACAAATCTTTGAATTCAATTGGAAAAAAAAATATAACTGCAAAATGCATATTAATACTGAGTGGTATAATGACATTACTAAAGAATTTACTATCACCAAAGTGACTAAAACATTATCTCATCTCCCAAACAACAAGGCCTATGGCCCTTCTGATATTAGTTATGAAATGTTAAAACATGTAGGCATACTCTTTTTTCAAGCAATCATACTCTCCTAAATAGATATATTACCTTAAACCAAATCTCCAAGCAATGAAAAGAGGATAGAATTTTTCTAATTTCTAAAAAACCTATTTTTGACTACAACTTAATCAACACCAAACCTATTAGCTTTCTCAAACATATTAAAAAACTATATACAAAACTTCTCACAAACTGTTTAAATTAAATATTTACTAAATATAAAATTCTTTCACCTTATAATTACATTGCTCTGCCAGGCAATAGCATGGCTATACCTATATATATCTTAAAAAATATTATTGAAGATGCATCTTGCAACTCCAAACAGCTTTAACTTATATCTCAAAATATGAGAAAAGCATATAACTCAGTTAATCTGAACCTGTTTGAAAAGGCACTAATTCGCATTAACATGCCTTCTAAACTAGTTAACATATTTACTAATTTATTAACAGACTGTCGAAATAGAGTACTCATCAATCTTGGCCTAACCAACCCATATACAATTAAAAATAGAATAAACTAGTGAGAAACAATAACTCTACTATTCTGATGCATTTATTATGACCTACTTATTTATAAAATTGCATCTCAATATAATGGTTACTTATTATCTACAACTTGGAAAACTCACCTTTAACCACTTAGATCCCAAAGCTTTCAAGCATCTACATTAGTATTAGCTTACATAGATAATACACTTTGGATAGCAAAAACAAAACAAGAATTAGAATAAATTATCCAAACTGCTTCATCTTTCTATCTAATAGCCAATATTCAGATTAATGCCACCAAATCTGTCTTTATTTTTAACTTATCTACATCTAATATTTAATTTTTTAACTATATTTTAGAATCTATACCTGCTAGCCAACTATTTAAGTTTTTAGGTTGTTGGTTTACACTAGGAATGTTATCCTGCTTGTCGAAACTCAATTCGACTCTGCTTGGAACCGAACCTGATGGAACTCGAGTTTTTGTGGTCACAGGATTTTTATTATCAAATCATGCTCCAAACCAGTTTGAAATAGATCAGATGAGCAATATTGATTTAATTAATGACGAAAAAATTACTGTAATATAATCATTATGACGAACAAAAATCTTTTTTTTTAATTAATTTAAAGTGGTGTAAAATTACTGTACTATCATTATGACAAACAAAGAATTACTATCATTATGGCGAACAAAAATCCAACTTTTTTTTTTATTAATAAAGTGCTGTGAAATTACTATCGTCATAACTAACAAAAAATTACTATCATTATGATGAACAAAAATCAATTTTCTTTAATTTTTTTTTTTAAGCACCATAAAATTACCATTGTTATGACTAATAAAAATTACTATAATTATAACGAAAATTTTTTTTAATTAATAAAGTGGCATGAAATTACCATCGTTATGACTAACTATCATTATGACGAACAAAAATCAATTTTTTTTTGATTTTTTTTAAATTAATTTAATGCGGAGTGAAATTATCATTGTTATGACTAATAAAAAATTATTATTATTATAACAAACAAAGGTCAATTTTATAAATATTTGATTTCTTTTTTTTTTCTATATTTTTTTTTTTACTTGAATTTTGCAATTTAATGGATAAAGAAAATACATTTGATGAGCTTATTGATTCAATTGAACCTACCTCTTCAAGTTAGATTTCTCAAAATTTACTTGAACCTGTTGAAGTAACAAACAATTCTCCAAAGAGAATAAAAAAGGATCCGTTCTAAAATGAACTTACTAAAGTCGGTGATAAATGATATTGCAAACTTTGCAATAAAGCTTATTTATTGGAAACAGGTCTTTTGACTATTAAATCTCATTTTAAAAATCACCATTTAGAGAGGTGGAACGAAATTATGATAGCCATTAAGGCAAATGTTGAACCTTACAGTGCTGATAAGATTTTACAAATTAGCCAATATCTTATAAAGTGGATTATTACAGACCAACAGCCTTTTTCTCTTGTCGAAAATAATGATTTTAAACAATTCATTAATAAAATAACCCCATGATATTTTCTTCCATCAAGACAATATATTTTGCAAAGTATTTTAAATCTATACAATGATAAACAACTCGAACTTTGTGATTTTTTTAACTCAAGTCACCAAAAATTTGCAATAACGACAGATGCTTGGACCTCTTGCACTAACCTTGGATTTCTTGCTATTACTCTCCATTGGATCGATGAAACCTGAAATATGAAATGAATTCTATTAAGTATGATACCACTTCACGAATGACATACTGGTTGCTATCTAAATAAAAAATCTTGGAAGAAATTTTGGTTTATAACATTGGCTCACGAATTGTTTCTACAACAACCAACAACGCAGCCAATATGGAGATGTTTGGATGTTTATTTCGTAAAAAGCTTCACTCTGAACATGGTAACAAGGACTTTGAACACATCTATTGTGCCACTCATGTGTTGAACCTTGCAGTTTCTGAGGGTATAAAAGTTTAGTTAATTCAATTACAAAGTTACGAAACTTTGTAAGTTACATATATAAATTCCAACCATTGTTTGAGAACCTTAAAAAGGTCTTTCAAGCAAATGGAAAGCCTTTTCTCATACCTGATTTGGATGTGTCGACAAGATGGAACAGTACATACAATATGATTGAAAAAATGTCCTGAATTCGCCAAATGACTGATGACCTTGTTGAAGATAATCCTGCTTTAAGAAAACAATATTTAACTGAAACCGAATGGTATGAAGTTGAGGTTAGTATTTTTGTATATTTTCAAATACCATATAATAAAATTAATTAACTTATCTGTGATTTTTTAGGCTATTGTTATATTACTTGAGCCTATAGCAAAAGCAACACTAATTTTGTCATTATTGACTTGTCCAATGATGCGAGATTTGTACATGATATTTCCTACAATATTAAATATTTTATACAATGCATTGAATAGCAAAATTCAAATAAATAGTCAAATTGCACAACGAATATACAAAAAACTTAACGATTATTGGAGTGTTCTTCGAACTTGTTGTAGTGTGTTAGTTGCATTAGACCCGAATATAAAACTATCTTCATTTGATAGTAAAACAGCAATAATTGTTCATGAGCTACTATATAGTATTTACAAGCAATATAAAGAACCAAGCTCATCTGTTACTGAAGATACTAATGATTCTCCAAGAAATTACTTTAGAAAACATCGTAATGAAAGTTTACCTACTAATTCAAATGTCTTGATGAATACCTTACAGCCACTGAAGAAAATTGTAACCCTTTGGAATTCTGAAAAACATGATCTACTAATATGCATTATTCTGGGCTTTCAAGAATAGCAAGAGACTATTTGATCATGCAAGCAACAAGTGTGCCAAGCAAAGAAATGATTTCAAAAGCTAAAAATACAATCAACTCAACTCGTAACAGGTTGTCCAAAGAAAATGCCTCTGCAAGCCTCTGCTTAAAGACCTGATATGAAGTGGGTATTATTGACTGTAACGAAGACTAATAAATCAAAAATAAATAAATAAAAAATAAATAAAAATAATAATAATAATAATAATAATAAGTGAGTAGATGCAATAATATTTAAAAATTCATGTAAAAAAAAAAATTATGTAGCAATAACATTATATAAACTTATCATTATGTAAGCAGGTTTAATTAAACTGCTCATGCAAGCATAATTATTAGTACTTTTATGTAAACTGTGTTCTGAAACCAGTTTTTATATAAATATGCTCTGAACAGAGTTCAAACAGGTTTTAAACATGAGCTAACCGGTTGGAGCAGGATAACATTCCTAGTTTACACTTAACAACAAACATACTAAACAAATTAAAATTATCTGAGAAGAAACTTTTCAATTTACAAACATTGCTAGTATAAAGAAAATTACAGATAAACAAATTATTTACATAATCAATACAGTATACTTACACTTAAATATAGATTACACAACATTATTATATCTTACTCCACATGCAGCAACATTCTTGCCAAATATTTAACAATAGCCAAACACAAATTCCATCTAGCATGCTCAATTCTCAATAGTACCATGCTTAACTCATATCTGTATAATGTTTATAATATATGAGACATTCAACTTCAACACCATATTACTAACTTTTTATTATAACTCAACAATTTTAACTTACTAGAAACTTCAACATGAATAAGACTATAACAACTTCAAAACAACTTATGGTCAACTATCAATATACTTTAACATCCCAATCCTATTATCGATGGTCCAAATAAACGCACTCTAAATTTCAAAATTATTCAATTACTGAAATATCTAAACATATCTATAACAGCTAATTCCAATATTTCATGGCCAAACACTATATCATATAACCTTCAATCAATAGAAACAATTTTATCTTAACACTCTCAATACATTAGCTTCAAAAAACAAATCAGAAACCTTAACATCCTATACTTTGAACAGCTCTGTACAGCTAATAACACTACTTTATTAAAATGGAAACATCTTTTACCATAACTATTATATCTACCTAAAGGTTGAAAACTATTATGGTTCACTTTTTTGGAAGAAACTGTAATGGCCTATAATAGTTTCAGAATCCTTTTTCCATACTATCAACAACCAGGATATAATCTATTTGTATATAGTTTACAATATATTTCTAAAAAATCTAAACTCTGGTTATTTATATATACTGACCGAGATTATTGTTGGCAAAATCTGCAGACATTTAAAAAACATTAATCAAATGTTTATTATATACTGGCAAACAAATATTAATATAAATCACTCTGGTTACTATCTCCTTTTATCAACCCAAAGCTTATCTTGTTTAGGCTGTTATTTAAACTCTAACAAAATTCAGAATTTATATACAATCAATGTATCAGCAATTATCTCTTCCCAATTTTTAGGAAGAGTCAATTCTAACTTATTAAACTTCAATGCCAACTATATTGACCTTATCCATTCAACAGCTATTAAATATCTTCTAATACCAACAATTCCAATTTCCAACTCTTATATCTTTAAAATATTCAAAACTAGTGAAGCAGCAAACACATTTGAACAATATTTAATTCTCAACAGCTCTCAACAATAACTTAACTTTTATACTGATGGTTCAGTAATTAATATTGGAACCAACCAATGTACAATGGGATTGGCTAGCTTCAGGTTAATAACAATAATCAAATTATTTAAAATTCTCTGTCAAAATCGACTTCTGGTCATCATTCTACAAAGCAGACTGATGGCTATTCTCTCAGCTATTTCTATCACATCCTGAAACACAATAGTTAACATTTTTACAGATTCCTAATCCATTATCACTAAATATACCAACATTTATAACACAATTTCCAATCTTAACAAACTTCTTAAATTTAATACATGGCCTATATAGCATACTTTATTGAATATTATTAAATCATACAATCTCCAAATTAACTTTCACAAAGTTCAAGCTTATACTGACAACAATTTGAACAATCTTGCTGACTTCCTTGCTAAGCAACATAATTTTTCTCCTAATTTATACTTTAATTATATTAATATTTACAACCTATATCACATGCTATACTGGAACCAACACTTTATAGAATACCCTACAAGAATATTTATCAAAAATATTTGCAAAGTCTATATTTTGGCAATGTGGTCATCTTAAAAATAAAACCAAAAATAGAACCAACTTATTTCCAAAATAGATTAGAGATCCACTTGGCTATACTTTAACCATAACCAAAAACCAATACATAATATAATTAACTTTAAACTTAATTAGTCTAAATCTTTTAAAATCAAAATTCTACTAAATAAATTACATATACACACTCTATGTCATAAAATATATCTACATACTTTCTATAATACAAACTGCTTCTATTGTAGCTTACCTGACTCCTTAACACATTGGTGAACATATTCTAATCCAACACTACTTACTAGTATTATTTGAGATACTATCTCCAAACATATTAGTCAAAGCAACCTAGATCTCTCTAAACTTTAGTAAGAAGAACTTATTCAAAAAATTCAAAATCATAAAACTTTTTACCAAATACCATTTAATGATAACTCATTTTACCTTAATATCATTCTTAAAGAACTTATACCCAAATTGCTAATTCAAACAATTCAAAATCTTAACATCCTTTACAAATT